ATAATAATAATAATTATCACATTGTATAGCGCATATCCCCGATCGACAGCAAGCGCTATGCGCTTTTACACTAGACGTATAATAGTCAACATACAATGAAAAAGTGCCCCACTTATTACGTTTTTTCTATTGGAAGAGAGATTGCGCAACATGTATAAAACTGTACAACTTTCCAGTTTACTATGGTTCACAAACCAACCATCGTGCTAAATATTATGTCCACAAAATCAAAGTGGTTAAAGGGACACCAATATAGGCTTAAACATTATTTTCCGTCGCTGTCCGGATTCGAACCCGGGATGTATTAAATGAGAGGCGAACACCGTAACTTCTTGAACGCAACATCCATCAATATTATGTCTACAAAATCAAAGTGGTTAAAGGATATTATAGGCTTAAACATTGTGGCTTGTTCATGCTGTGATTTATTTTTAAAGACAACCGCCATTGCATTCCCAACTGCCAAAACACACAAACACCGGACGAGAAGAGAAACCACACAAGAGGGCGGAGAGAAGGAGGGAAAGGGGGGGGGGGCAAACAAATGATTAAAAAAAAAAGAAAAAAACGAGCAAAGAGGGGAAAACAATCTCGGTAAATACGATGAAAAATCAGAACAAGATAGGATGAAAAATCAGAACAAGATAGGATAAAAATCGGAAAAAGATAGGATAAAAGTCCAAGCAAGAAAAAGTAAGATAGAAATCAGAGCAAGAGTAAGTGAGATGCAAATCGGAGCAAGGTAAAGTAAGATAAAAACTAGAGCAAGCTTTAAAAAAGACCGAACAAGAATTAGTAAGATAAGAAAATCAGAGAAATATAAAGTAAGATCGATAGAAAAAAGAGCAAGAGTTTAAGATAAACCTTGGAGAAATAGTATGATGCGAAACAATAATTAGAGCAGGAGTAAGAACAGAAAGACTCAGAGTCAGAGCAACGTTATGTGAAATGATTGAAAACCGAGCAAAAGTAACAATTAGGACAAGAGTAAGTAAGCTAAAAAAAAGAAGATGTCTAAAGAGATCTACTATTGCAGACTGATACATTACTCCTCTTTCTCTCTCTCTCTCTCTCTTTCTCTCTCTCTCTCTCTCT